ACACTTCGCCGTGCTCGCGAATTATAATAATCGGCGACGTCGTTTGCAAATGCGAGTCACTTCGGAAGTGAGTTCCGGCGCCGCTCTCGCTCACGACGACGGGTGTTACAGCTCGCTGGAGGAGATCTCGCGTCGCTCGCGTCATTTTTCCCGAGACAAGGGAGTGGAAGGAGAGTTTCCCATTACGATTTCGCCGGTCGTTTCCGTGACTACCGTGCGCCAGGAGTGCATTCGACGATACGAAAGAAGTTGTCGACGTCGCGCTCGAAGCGCGATTCTCGAGAACGGGCTTTGTCGCTTCGGATGAAAGTAAGACGGACATCGTAAGAGGATTTAACTTTATTGCCGTAACGGATCTTGAAGAAAGTGGAAGTTAACGGAGAGTGAGAGTCTTCGCCTCTCCTTCGAGTCGAGGGACAGTAGAGAGAGAGAGAGAGAGAGAGAGAGAGAGAGAGAGAAGAGAGAGAGCCTGATCCCGCAGGCCGATGGTCAGTCAAACGCATTGATCGCGATCCAGGGACAGGTATTTATTTGGACGGATCACACGTAAGGAATTGCATGCCTTTAAGAATTCAGGTTAAGGCGAACTTACCGCTTCTGGAGGATTCGCGGAGCGCGGTCGAATGCGCGTTTACGTAATAATACGTGAGCGGCGGAGTCATCGCCACGAATCGACATTTGCACATTTACGTAGTTAGATGTATGTAATTCTGCAGGTAATTCTGTAACGGATATCGTGTTCTCTCTAACGATACGCACAACGAATAATAAATGTGGAACAAATAATCAATAGGTTTTCGTGATATAATTGTCGTATCACTCTCATTTGATTTATATATATATATATATATTTATATTTATATATATTTATATATATATATATTTTTTTTAATGTAAACAAAATCAAATTTCATTCAAATTTATTTCAAATCAATTTCCCTTAATTAAAAGTCCGTTTCGATGTTTCGTACCTTTTTTTTTTTCAGATAATTCTCCACTCCTGTGAATTCATTCACTTTATTTCTCAGTCAGTCAGTCTTGTGTCTGATAAGATTGTCAAAGAGTGGACAATAAATTAGCGGATTATTCTTAGTTCAATACTCGTCTGATTGATCAAAAGATTCAACATGGACACCAGTACTGTGCGCTTGGTAATATTTTTGGGAATGTTTCTGATTTTCGCTGGCGATTATAGCGCGTTGGTTTCCACAATTTTCGGTAATGCGACAGAGAGGAACATAACGGATGGTGCGAAAGAGTCTGAGGCTCAGCTCAAAGGGCCTCACGATAAGATACCTGTTCTCTCGAAGAAAGACGTCGATAAAAATAACGGTAAGAATTTGTGTAAAAGGTACACGTCGTAATGTGAAATTTCGTTAGAAATGTGTTACGAAATGAATTCGAAAACGCATTCTTCTCTCTGCAATGTGAAATCACGTTTCTTTCAGCAGCAATATGATGATATCCAATACAAGTTTTGTAGTTTTATAGCTTGTGCAAGATACCCTTGCGTACAAATTGCTCAGAAAAATTTCTTTCTTTCTTTACCATTGCATAAAAATGTATTCGTATGCAAGAATCGCACGTGTGTCGCTACACTATATATGTCCAGCTAAGCTTGTTTGGTTCGCGTGAAGCTAATTGCTACTCTGTGAATTGACTAATTAGCCGCACGCTCGTACGTTTTAATTATTTGACAACATTGTCGAGATCTTCCACACTCAAAATATATGTCTCGTGTATTTATCGAATATGACCATAATCATGTTCATGGTCGAGAAAATGTTGTTGGAAAATAGAATATGGTAAAATGAGTCTCAGTCCTGAATTTATACAGTGTTTCTTAAATGAATTAATTAACGGACAATGTACTATATATTAATGTGCTGTATATCTATTACATTATTAATTAATAAAACATTTCATGTTAATAAAAAACATATTTTTGGATATATAAAAAAATACGGTTTCATTATTCAAATATCTTTTAATAGTGAATTAATATAACATTATTTCTTAGTGCCAGAAAAATAAAAAAAAGACAATAGATATAATGTTATTAGTACAATAATAACAGGAAATATAATGACATAACAAAAATGGGATAGCTAACGTTTCTAATGCGTTTAAAGTGCGTGAATAAAGTTTCTAAAGATCTGGAACATAATAAGAATACTTTTGTTTCTGAAAGTAAAAGTGTCTTCGTCACGTCCTAGATCCTTAGAAGTTTTTTCAACGCGCGTGAGATCTGGGCTGTTGTCACTTGTCGTCGCGATTAAGCAAAATTGGTCATTCACACGAAGACGCGTGGTCATTCGGAATAATGTGTGATCCATAAATCTTCCCATCACTCAGAATGATACTGCATGTGCATGTGCCAATTGAGATGTACAAATGACAATACGACTTCAATTTTGTGCAGTTGCCTTACGCCGTGCGAAGATGATGGCGACTATCAAGAGTGCTTGCTTGCCGAAGCTAATATGCGAACTCACCAAGTCTATTCACCAAGATCAACTAAGTGAAATGGAGCGATCTCTTTTGAATCTTATAAGGTACGTAAGGTACTTACTTTTACGTTCTATTTACGTCCATTTTTGCTATTTGTATCGTCAAGAAGAGAAAGTGGCTTAGTTTAATTCATTTTAAATATATTATATGAAATAATAAATCAAATTAAGTTGTAAAGACATCTGATTTTTACCGGAGTCATTCCGGGGGAGGGAGGGGGGGAACCTGGAATGATCGGCGGTTAGTGGTGTGCGCTACTCAATTTATTCGGTATAGCAAGGTGAGAATCTACTTTCATCATCGCGGCTCTTGCACCCAGTGTCCTTACTTTCACAACTTTCGATCGGCATTGCGGCTGAACGACTCAGGGTCCGTCGACCCTGAAACGCAAGCGTTACTTGCAAAGATTAGCGCAACGGAAATGTATGTATTTCTCTCGGGTCACGCAAGCAGCATGGGGAAAACTGCGAGGAATTTTCCAAAGTTAGTAAACGGCGATGTTTCTCATCTAAAGGTATATAGGTTGTTGCCGAACGGCGTGTCGGCTAATGGCGATTTTGCAATTTTCACCGAAGCTGAAAGCTAATAATAATAATAATACCATACGTGCGTCTCAATTATACGGAATGTTTTGGGAAACGATGGCGCGGGCGAACCGCGGAAACGTCCAACGAAAAACTCTCGGTCGCCGGGAAAATTGCACGCCAGGACAAATGCACGTGGTGTGCGCGCCACGCGTATTTCGCAATTTTCGTTTACGATCGGAGGTAAAATGCGGTCAGATCCGCGTTATGCGGATAATGTAAAGAATTATATCGCGAATTTGTGCCGTTTTACGTTCTGATTTAAAAGCAACGTTACATTAAAACGGAAAACTCTGCGGGAAAATCGGGAAATGCAGCATCCGCATCCGCGCGTACGCGGAGCGCTTTTAAATCCTCATAATTTGTCCAGCAATATGGAATATTCCGTCGCGGTCAACATCGATGCAGGAAAGTTTATAACGTGAATGTATTAATTATACATTCGCGAGACATTTGATCCCTGCTATGTGCGAGAATTTTGATTAAATTTGAGAATGTGAGCGTGTGCGAAAAACAAGGAAGAAGGAGACTTCCTTAAAAAATTAATTATTAGTTAAAATTATTAATTAATTAAATAGTTAAAAATATTAATTAAAAATATTTATAATTCACTATTCGCGATCGCTCAAGTTATTTTGAAAGACGAAATATTCTATTTTACAATTAATATTACTTTGCAAAAAGCGGTTATTGTTCTATCGACAAATATGCACAAATATGCAGTTAAATTTATATATAATATTGCTGACGACGATTACTCAATTTATCATCATCTAGAGTACTTTATTACAGTTACAAAATCATAATCCATACAAATCGTGTGTAAGATCATGAAATAAGGATTGCATCGCGCACGTTTTGGAAAGTGTCTTAACTGTTTGATAGTCGCCGTGAAAGTTCGCTGTCTCTTATGTAAGTCTTGTCCAAAAATGTGCCTCTTTCTGTACCTCACCGTAACTATCCGACGAGCACTTTCCTTTTCACATTGGGTTATCCAATCCATGTACTTTCTCTGCGTCACGACAGTTGGCATCTGCCGTTTGGCTTCCCTGGAACTTCAGCTTCCTACTAACGTTTCTTTGTGATCGGCAAAGAGAGGTGATAGAAAGCAAGTGAATTAGTTCCAACTTCGATAATTAACTTACACTTACGCGTCGCTAAAAACAGTTAAATGAACGTTCGATCGTTTTACATTCGTCGCAAAGTGAAGTGTCGTTTCTGTTTTTTTCAAAATAAACGTGAATTCCTCCGTATTATTCATGAGCAAAGCGTATGCCCTGTATACTTTTCGCTTTATATACTTCTCCCACTCTTTTTAAGAAACAAACAAATTAATATTACGTACGTTTCTATTGACAATTTTTTTTCTCCCAGAAAATAGTAGGTCTCATTAGCATCTTCTTAACTTTTCGCTTATTATGTTAATGATTAGAAATTGAAACGTAATTTTATTATCATTTCCCGTTCCCGTTCGTTATACGAGATGATAATTTAAATAATAAACGAATAAAGTAAATAGTTATTATATAGTATGCTAATAAAGAAACGTAAAAATTTAAAAAGCGTTTGTACAATACGTCGCAAGTGTGTGGATTTTAAAATAGTTTATCCCTGAAGCGACGAGCTCGAATAAAAGTCTCGTATTTATTACGGGCGTTTACTTCCGCCCGCGTGTTAAACGAAAACGACGTCGACGAACAGTAAAATGAATCGACGCAGAAAAGCGACTTCCATTAGAAAGTATAATGAACCAAAACGACGGCATTGTCCCGACGTACGGTGCGTTCTTGTTTTTCGTTTAAATACACAATATTTCTTCACGCCACATTGCATACTCGTTAAAACGTTACACGTGTAATTGCAACGAGATAAAAATTCCGCAGTCTTTATTAAACGCCGGGAGGCGGTGGCGTCTATAAAATAAAAAGTTAGGAGGGAGACGATTGTGGAAAATATTAGCTTTTGTATTAAAACTTTCTGGAAAGTTTCCGGGACTATAACTTTAAGTATAATTAGAAGTCGTAGGTAGGGCAAATGCAGCGCGCGCGCGCGTTATCTTTCGCGCGTCTCTTCATCGTCTCTTCTCGGCGCGAAAGTGAGCATTGTCTAAAAGCGAGAGAGAGAGAGAGAGAATCGCCCTAGGAATGAGAATCCTTGCGCCGCGGTTAATGTCCCGGAAGGATCCGAGCTTTATATTTACTTTTATGCCTGCGTAAACGCCAGTCCGTCCTGACGCATTTCGGAGCTCGATTTTTATCGGCGCGAATCGCTCCGGGTTAAATCGATCAAGATGGAGAGGCTAAAAAGCCGTTTTGCGTTTATTCGTTATATTCTGGCGGCCCCTTCGGAGCCAAGATGCGGAATCGTAAAGGGGGGGAACGGCTTCCTCTTCCTTTCCCGAAGGAGAAAGACGTTTTCCGCGGGAGAGCCATGCGTAACGAAACTGCTGCTCTTTTACTCTTCTGACAGATCAAACGATTTCTTAGAGATATTCGGCAAAGTACATTTCGCTTTTGACGCGATTCGAGTGATTTTTGAGAAAAATCGTTAGCAAAAAAATCAATTTTGGGATCTCCGATGGAAACTCAAGAAGATAGATTTGCAAAACAGCATGTGAGAATTCTCAGGGGAAGAGATCCGGAAGAAAGCGATTTGTCTTGCCGTTTGTATTCTGCGGTAATAGTTTATTTCAATAACACTTTCTCTACAAACGTTTCTAAATTAGTCTTTCATTTAAAAAGAGGAAACGCGCGAGAGAAATCGAAGTGTTACCTGTTTAAAGCGGAATATTAACGTGGGTGATGATTTTGAATTTATGATGTTTTAAAAGAGACATTATTTGACATTATTTTATTTTCGTTCCCCCTCGGTTTGTCTGGAAATGCAAATGCAGGTATAACGAAGGAGAGAAAGGATTCAAGTACATTCTGGTTTTTATCGGGTGTAACCGGACTGTACACGGATACATTTACCGGCTGATGTCGATATCGAAAGTAAAAGGCGAGTCGCCTTGTGCTGTTTCTTATATATCATGCTGGTAACCAGTTTAACATGGTTCAACTGTTTCGACATTCAACTCGGTTTTGCAGCACTTTGTCAGACTTGGAAGATATTTTCACCACGACGATATTTTCATTTATTTATTAAACGTATTTTCATTTATTTTATAAAACGTAGTTTATTATACACCGTGCCATTTATACACCTCAATAAAGAACAATATGAGAAAATATATCATATAATACAAGAATATCTTGATGTAAATCGTAACTGACTGATATGTGAAAGGTCGATTTTATGAGTAGTAATTATTATAACAATGCAACATTAACAAGTTGTGTCTCGCGACAAGAAATTTGTTAACCCTAATAAAGATTCTATTTTTATTTTCAGGGATACGAGTCTAAGTACGATGGCGGAAGTGCCGTCGAGATATCACTTTGCAGCTCACATGGGCCAATTAATATCTGGCATAGAAGGTCAAGGTTGTCATAACTTTTATCCTACTTGTCCGTTGCCGGGCATCAGCGTTCTGAACATGATGAAGAAGGTCCGATTACGCCGATGAGCCATAAATCATTGTGACTATCGGAATCGACGATTGTTGAATCTGTGATACTGTGGACGCTTTTCTTTTGTTCGCGTTTGCAAGATTATTAACATCGTAGGAATTCAATCTGCGCAATAATAAATCGCATTTTTGGCGATGCAACAAACAATGCGCAAGCTTCCGATGATGAGGATATCAATTACTGCGAGAAAAAAATGACAATTTGTTTTGTAAATATTGTTTGAAATTTTATTTAAGTAAAATAAAAATTTTAATTCTTGATTTGAAATTCTAGATTATTGAAACTAGAAAGATATATTTGAGTTAATATTATTGACATAGGATTTCTTCAAGTCAGAGTCTGCCAAAAACTTATCAGACTTTATAAGTAGTAAAGATGTAATCTACTGTTTACTTATGAATTAAAAAATGACATGTGTGCATTTTCATGCTCAATATTATTATTTATTTGTTAATTCACATATATATATATATATATATCGCTTATATATATTTTTTTACTTATTTTTTTATGTAATATGGCTTTATAAAATGTACTTTCAGATTTTATATTTCAAAAATTTTATGTAAGATTGCTTATTTTTATATTGCTTATTTTTATAACTTTGTATAATTATGATGTATATATTATCGTGTTTTGTACAACAAGAAATGACAAAATTATATAAATTGTAAAAACACTAAGCGTTTTTTTTTCTTATTATAAGATATGCCTGTACCCTACAATTTGATTTCAAATATTAATCTATTTCAAATATCTCATTTAATGCGTTATACTTATAATTTCTTATTGTCATAATTTTGTGTATTATTATATTACAAATATTACTATGTTTCAATAAGAAATAGCAAAAGATTTGGCACTAGAGAATAGTGTCAAACTTTCGTTTTCTCCATTACAAAATATTTCCCCTGATATTGCATGAGTTTACTATATGCATACGCTCTCGAGATTACGTAGTTTCGTAGAAACTCCCAAGATGATGCTTTGCCAAATTATCGGAATTCCCGATCTTCGCTCTGTACCCTGTTCTTTTTTTTCTACTTTAATACAAGAGGTTGCCGATATCCCCGTTACAATCCGGAGACTAGCGGTGAAACGTGCGAAAATTATTAGAATAATCGCTGGCGTCTTTATCGACTTAAGCTCGATGCCAACTCGTCTCGAGTGGACGTTTCCCAACGAGCCGTACGATCGTAAACGAGATCGTGCCAAGAATCTTGCCTAACAGCTAGGATCGGTACGATATGTGAGGACGAACGGGGATGTAACGCCAATGAAACCGCGCCATTAACCGACCCCGTCGTCCTCCGAAACAACCGGTGACACATTCGGGGTCCTCGCAAAAAATTATCGATCTCGCCGTTGGAGTTTATCGATATCTCTCGCGCTGGTGCCAAGCCACGCACGATTTTCAGCTGCAATTCCATTCTTCTTATTTTGTTACGTGTTACACTTACAGCTGAGAAATCATCAGAGAAATTTTATTAACTTCCCACTAAAAATGATATATGACACTTGTAAATATAATTAATTATTAATTAATTTAATTGAGGCATTAATTCATACGAAGGCTACTATTGCAATCGCTCCAAGAAATTTCTTAAACGTTGGTCGTGCATTATTTATTCAGTTTTGATTCATGCATGGAGTAACATACTATACGTTGCATACATAATTGATTTTGTAAAAAGTTTTAGTATTTAAGATGTATTTAAATCGAAAATGAAAGCAGAATTCATTAAGAAAGTTATATAATATCATGTACAATCAAAACATTTTTATGATTCCTAATAAAGATGCGTTTTGCATATTGTGATATTTTCTAAAATTCTTCATAAAATATAAATTTATATTAATTAATTAATTATAATATTATATTAATTAATTTATATTAAATATAAATTTATATTTTGTAATTCAGAAGACAGAAAAAAATTGAATACATATTTTTCGAGAATACCAAAATTAATACAAAAAATTCTGAATTAAAATATAAAAAAAAGTCAGCGGTGAGATAGTTTTCTCTTGACATTTAACCGTAACTAACGATATAATTTACTAGAAAGTTTTTCAATCGAATCGGTGCAAAAGTATCGTAAAAGATCACGCGATGTTAACATCGATATATCGACCTTGCTAGGAGAATCCAAGTTCCGCTCGCGGAAGATCGCGTTATACGAATTAGCGTGAAAAAATTCTCGAAGGGGTGTACCAAATGTCGTAATATGAAATTTGCCGTCGGATCGAAGTCGGCTTCGCCGACGGGAAGGGGGAGATCACTTTCTCTTCGTTGGCACGAGGACTACGGTCTCGTGGTGCTCCGAGGAACATTCAGCGATAAGTTTTTACCAAAGCAACTAGCCGTCGATCCGTCGGCCGCGTGTTTTCGATCGGCATATCAAAATCCTATACATTGATAGCTGTAAAGGTGCGCGTTTTGAGTGATTCGTGCGGTCTATATTGATAACGTATCAATATTGGCACGACAAAGATGCAGCAATGTACGCGTCTGTTATGAATTGCATAATGACGAGGCTCTGAAACAGCAGCGACGATCGATTTATCTTCAGAGGCGCGATTGGATGATTTGAACCACGTGGAGTGCGTGAGTTTTAGTTGAAGAAAAAAGTGAAGCTTCCGTTCAGTTGAAATATATTTCCTAACGCGAAGTGCAATTAATAGTGATTTTTTTCTTTTTAATTATTATTACAGTTTGTAATTTTTGTAAACGAATATTGAAAATAAAGAAAATAAATCAAAAAGATATAATTCGCAAATTGCGTCATGACGCTTTTGAATGCAAAGATTGATTTTTTTTATATATTAGTAATGTAAAGTAGTTTTCCTTTCCTTTCCTGAAATAAAGAAAGTTGCATGACAATAGGAAGAACTCACGCACAATAGCGGAAGCTAATCTCAACGATCGTATTAGTCGAGTTTCACAATTTCTTTTACAGTAATTAATGAATGTCTTAGATCCGCTACATAATGAAATTATCACGGACGTTTTTGCTCTTCGGCTGTTATTTTCTGGTATTTGCACTTATGACGGCGGCCGAAGAAAACGAGCCGATTTTTGATCTTCCGGTACACTTGGTTGGCTTTCCGATAATTATAGCAACCGTAAGAATCACCAATTTTCTCAAGAAGCTCGTTTATGCTTTGAATCCAGGTAATGTAATCAGAAAATATTAACAAATTTTTGTAATAACTTTTATATAATTTACAAATACACATTAATAATAGATATCTTTGCAATTTTTAATATATATATATATATATATTATTTTTTTTCTCTAATATATATAAATACTACATGATAAATAGATCAAATGTGAGTAGATCAAATCGTAAGGAGAAATGTTATAAAGGAAAATTCTTTCATATCCATGTATTACGCATTAGAATGTCTGTCAGTGTCATGATTTGTCAAGCGTGAAAAGCAAAAGTATATTGCAAACATGTCAGAGATTTCTTGCCTTTTCCGCGGTTAACTCACGAGATACGTGAGTTAAATCGGCAAGTAAATCGACGAACAGTAAAAGCGAAAGTGTTCCACTTGTTGCAACTTCTCTTGCCGATCACGGAGCCATGTAACAATTTAGTAATTGAGGTTGCACTAAATGGATATGCATGTTGGGAGAATAAACAAGGTCACAAAATTCAAAATATTTTTTAACTACCGTACGAATTAATTAACAAAGCAACCAATTAAATACAATAAAGTTTATTGTATTTAAAAAGTTACACGTTGCTTGTTATACACGAAGAAGAAAGTTTTGTAAAAAATTTCTTCTAAAACTCACCATTATAGACAAGCGATTATTAGAGCTTAGTGAACTAAAATTAAGTCTCTCAATTGCTTTGTAAATCCTTCAATAGTGTATTCTCTTTAAATTCTTAGATACTTATGTCAGTCGGGTGAAACGAGCACATCCTTTGATACACGATGAAGAAATCTTAGATGTTGGCCAAATCGAAAAGAAGCTAGTAGCTGAGCTCGGAAATAACGTTTGCATCTACGAGAGGATTTGTGTCAAATACGCAGCACGAACGTTTCAAAGAAGAAGTTGGGAACACGTTCTTAATTGGAGTGAAATATTCAGGTACGACGATAAATTTACGATTTTATAACTGCTAGAGTTTACTCTAATAATTTTATTAAAAACTTACAACGTTGAGCATTTGAAAATTTTCTTGAAAAATATCAAAGGAGAAATGTAATACTCGAAAAAAATTTGAAGATATATATATATATATATATATATATATATCTTCAATAGTAATAATAGTATATATAAACAAATAATAGTATATATATATATATATATATATATATACACACTGTCGACATATTAGGGCAGAAAAATGTACTGTTGCAACTTTCCCATGACTACATTATGCAACCGTGACGCTGAAGTTCACGGCTCGAAAAATCTATGCTTCGTAAACAGATTTCATGGATGCGTTTCTCTTCGATTGGGAAATACAATCGATCGGGTTTTTCTCTTGACGGATTTATTAGAGCAGCATAATGAGATGTTATTGCCCCACTTATGCGGTGATACGTGACATTTCGTGTAATACGTTATTCACTTTTGCAAGACTACGACACCGTTAAGTGAATATTACTCAAGATATGAAGATAATGAACAATAATGAAAAGATGCCTTTTCTTTTTAACGTGAAATCATAACAGTTTCTCCGATAAATCTTCTTCTTAACATAAATTTCGAAGAAACTAATCTCATTGATACATCCTTAAATATTATATGTTAATATAAATAATTAAAACTTAAAATTAAAACTTTCATAAAAGTTAACATACATTAGTTTAATCATTTTACGTCTTAATAAGATATAAAAATAGATGCATTCCGTGCCAACTTTGTGTCTTATCGAATTTATCGAAAAGAAAAGAGTCACTAATTAGGAAGGAATTAAATCCCCGTCTGTAAAGACGCATGGCGCCTAATCGATCAATGGGCAAGCGAGACGTGTCGTAAGGCATCGTAAAATTATAACAGTGACGATAATGCCAAGACGCGATCTCAACAGCCTACAAATTCTTAAAAGGAAATGCACCTTTCTAATGGCGACATTTTCTTCCTCTTCGCCCTCATTCTTCACGCGGCCGTTGGAAGATATAATAGAAATCCCCGCCACCGAGGGACACGCTTCACGTATCCGTTAGCCGCCATCGCGGGGCTTACACTAAATTCAGTTGTAAGTAACGCCGGGAGCAGATAGTCTTTAATGGCGCTTCCACGGCCGCTCTAATGCATCCCGATAACTGAAATCCCCCGCTTCCTCCGTCACCGCGTCCTTCATCGCCAATCGTCTCTTCCGATCATCTCGTAGCTCGTCGTTGCGCGTCCAGACAGGCTCCGTTTTACGATTACCTCGCTATCCCGGACCCGTGGGTTTGAGGACCTGTCGGCTTATCTCGGACCGCCTAATGCCCCGCGGCTCGAGATAGCGAGCACGTGTCGCTGTTCCTGTCGACGCACGACGCATCTCTCGAGGCAAGCATTTCGTACCTCGGATCTCCTCCTCATCACCTGCGGGCAGCTCACGTAAGAGGTAGGAATATTCAAGATGCGCGGGCGGGGGGGAGGGGAACCGAGGGACCAGCAGGAGGAACAAAGAGGACGACAGATAAATTGGAGATCTCGACAGCAACTACCGTCTAGACGGATTTAACCGACCATGTTTGAGGGACGAAAAAACTGAAATCCAGGCGTCCCAAGATTTGACCTCCTTTCCAATCGAAGAAAACCATCGGTAGCGGGAGAATTTGTAAGCGAAGTGGCGTCACTAAAAATTAGAAATCCATTTAGCCGAAATGGCACTGTCTCATGTCGTAGATGACGACGATGACTAGGCGATAATTTAAAATGATAATATAAAATGGATATGAAATGGTTGTTTTGTAAACAGTTTTGTAAACGATATAGTGTGAACAAACAGACACTTTATGTGGAAATATTATGTATATATTTTTGTACTTTGTGTTTTTCTTTTCTTTTCTCTTCTAATGCGCATTTGCATGGTGCATCGATGGAGATAATGTTACCAGTAATTTGCATTATCATGATCTTGCAGGGAATACAAGTCATCATCCAACCCGATGAAGGAGAATTACTTGTTGAGCGTCTTTATGGGCGACATTATTGGCAGTCCGAAGCTATGTCACTTGTTGGCGAAGAGAGGAAGAGCCTGCGATAATGACATCTTGTCGGATTAGTTAAAAGCATGAGGCGTATTTGAATCTTTTTGTTGTAGTGGTAGTAAACATTTCTCGATGCCATAGACCTTAGATATCCGTGATTGCAAAATAAATTATAATATATTATAATTATAAATTATAATATATTACTATAAATTATAATATATTTATAATTATAATATATTACTTTGTATAATATGTCGATGCATGTGTTTGTATAGCCATAATCATTTACTGTTCATTGTATTCATATTCAGATTTGTACATTAAAGATTTAAACTTAATTACTCTAATTTGTTTTCAATAGGAAATACAACTTCTAAGTACATAAACAAATTTCATTAAAATATTAACACGAGAACTACATGATTATGTACTCTAACTAAATTATGTACGTTTTGTACGTTTTATTATAAATTCGTAATATGTCTATCGTTGAATATCTTTCACTTCGCGTGATTCGTTTAGCATTTCTTCAATTTGTTATGTCCGTGACATAAATAGCTCTCATCAATGCGTGTCACGTGATACGCCGATGCATGCACTTTGCTATTATTACGCGAAAATAATAACGTTTGACATTTAAGGAACCGTACACACTCATTTGAATCCACTCATTTTCAAAGAAGAACTCTTGCGAAAACTGTGCCATTTCGTGCGGGGTTCTTCGGCCGTACGTCCACTCATGCACACGTACACGATACGCACACATACGAACGTGAAATACACGTATGGAGTGAGAGTTGCTTACAGTGACACGATTCTACCCACGTCTTTCCGACCGAACGGTTAATCGGAAGATCAACTTCGAAGAAAGTTTCAGTTAGCGCAAAACCTCGACGACACGATCCTTCGTATTGAAAATAAATTATTAAATGTGAAGTTAATAAATAATAAGAAAAAAATTGAAATAGAAGTTTGTGATTGTAGAATTAAACACAAGCAAGTTCATTGCAAAATGCTTCATAATGCTTGTAATTTTAAAGAGTCGTTAATATTTTACGTAATGTGATTTAGAGTGAAAGTGTTTCAATGCTGTATATTATATTTAACGGTGCGTAAGAAATTTGTGAAATTATCAGATATTACATCTCCGTCAGAAGACTAAACGGAAAGAAATCTGTGTTTATTGAAAATAAAGATAATTTGCAATTATCTTTGCATAATGATAAATAGATTTATCTTCGTTTGGTGCCTCTCGTATTTATGTTTCAAAGCTTACACCGAACATTCACCGCAATATTTTCAAGAATTATCTAACGATACTCGATGTATTTCCGATTCTTCTCGAAAGATTTACAATGTATCAGATTTATTACGGTAAGTAATAAGATAATATTTTCTATCGGCAGAATATATATTGATTATATGATTGAATATATATTGATTAAATTACTTAAATGGATACACACACACACATATATATATATATATATATTATGCAGAATATATTATACAAGGTTTATACAAAACTAATAATAAAAGTAAAATTAACTATATTTAATAAACTATACAGATGCATGGATAATCTCGCCGTTAATCTTTTCGTTCAAAATAATGATCGATTATTAAGACAAAGGAGTAAAACGAATTCGCCAGTTTACAAAGAAAATTCTTACGGATTTCCTTATGGAAACATCATTTTAAATCTATTTAATAACGCCGAAATCCCATCGGTAGGTTTATCCCCTTTATTCCTTACTGAAAATATATTTAATTTAATTAAAACTAATTAAAGACAGGTAATTTTGTTGTTTATTAAGATATCGAAAAAATATTGCAGGGATATTACGATTCTTCTGCCGGTAATTATCAATTAGACACATTGAACAACGCACACATTGAACCTAATCAATTTGACGGACTTGGAGCAAATCTCTTTAATGCTCTGTCATCAATCTCTCGTTATGATGATCTGAAGTGCGTGTCTAGAATACTCTGCGAGATGGCGAGTGGCAAGCCACCAGGAGAATATAAGCGAGCACCGACGGGAAATAACGAGGAATATTTAAAAGGATTTGGAAGAAATGCCTTTACTCAGTTTGTATCTTTCTACAACATAAAACAAGATAATAACAACGACAAAAGAATAACGATAGATACATAATAACGTTGACTCTTAATGCGATCATTTGATTGTAGCAAAATCATTAACAGTGCTAATCAATTCAATTATCAGGTTGCTCGCAGGATTAACAGAAACGTCACCTATATTGAATTTTGCCCGAGCCGCTGTTTTGGGTTACAGCAGCAATGGAAATCCGACTATGTGTTACCGCGCATTTCCGAGATGTCCACGTAATCCCGACAAACTGATCCATTATCTGAATAACCATAATGGCGGATTCTTCCGGTTCTTCAGTAAAAGAGACCGCAAGAGTCATCTTCAGTCGTCTTACGTTTCACGAGGTAGAGAATAGCACAATAGATCTGACTTGATTTGATCGGATAACGTTCAAATCCAGGATTTTGTTATGAAGCGAATCGCTTTTGTTTATCGACAGATAATCCGGAATTTCTCGGAGAAAGACAATGGAAAGCTCCACCACCGGGCATCGCCGGAGCGGAGACTGATCGCACTGGAACGGGCAAGTTAAAGTTTGACAACCCCGTTTTGACTACTCGCCAAGATTACGAGAAAAAGTTCTTTCCAAGAGAAAATACATTGGAGAGCTCGGGACGAGTGGTTTTCCTGGATTACGAGGAATCGAGTGGTCGCCCATTGAAAAATAGGATTTCTAAATCCCTGTCGGATTTACGAGATCCTGACGTGACTACATTTTCGCGAGACTCTCCATTGGTTTTTCCTCAGGTAAAATTATATCTTTTTCGCGAAAAAGTATAAAAGTTAATATAGGACGAAGTAAATTAAAATAAAATAGTTTAAATTATAAATGTATAGTGAAATGTACTGTAATAATTTTTATAAGTAAGAATAATAAAGTCATATTTCATGAAATATTTTCCAGGAATCGGAGGATCAAGGTGTCCGCATTTTACATTTTACTTCTGAATCTTCGAACTCGATACCTCATAATGCGTTTCGCTTTCCACATTAATATTTTCGAATTTTTGCTCCACGAATAAATTCTTGAATAATATTCAGGTTATTAATTGTTAAATTTTATTAATTGCGATATGATCTAAAAGAATTAATTGAATTAATTTTATTATTATTAGATATAATAGATATCTATATATTACGGCTGATATTTAATTATATATTTTTAGAAATTTTGTTCTTTATATTCTAGCTCACAAATGGAATACATGTAAATAAAGGGAAGAGACGAGCTATTCAATCTTTTTTTTATACTGTATTCATCTTTTCATCATATAGTTATTCACTCTTTTCATCCATTACATTGCGATATCGACGTGCATAGCCAGCAAAATACCGGAAATTGTAGATTCACAGGTGGAAATGCAATTTTGGATTTCGATAGGCAGGCATCGACTATTCTACGTGCCAAAGCATATTTTATCTTCATAAACTCGAAGAGTCCTCTATTCGTACAGTCTCATCTTTTTTTTGTAATTTTTAACAATTTTACAATCCCTTTTCTAGAATGTCTTTCGAGAGATATGTATACATGTAAAGTTAAACATAATATTTGTTAAATTTATATAGAAATAAATTTTGTAAAATTCTTACAAAAGGATTTCTTATGAAACCCGTAAAAATCGTTTTAAGTTTTATATGATTTAAATGAGCATCTTGCAGTATTTATGAATAGGAATAATTTACGTTGCAAGAAAATGCAATACAGATGATTTCCGGAATTATAAATTATTCTTAGCATTTGCCGTGAAGGGCCGTTTTAAAAAGTATATATTTACCGGAAGATTCTCTGATGAGTCTACTCTGACATGCGATCACTCTTGAGCGTAATAATTTTCGATCGTTATAATGAATATTGCAAAAGTGTAAGGCGATAACGTCTATGATCAATTCATGTGTGTAACTTTCCTGCTACTGCTTAGCAATTTTAACCACGAAACTTGTTCGACAGGTGATCATACACGGCCTTTCCGAGACTCTTCCCATTCATTTGAGGCTTTGCTCTCTGACTTGTTTTCTTTTCTCATGTTTCACGCGATAATAGCAACACCCTGTATTTCTCATACATGCTCATCGCGTGCATGAAAAAAAAATACGAGTGTTGTGCTCGACCTTCTGTCTTGAAATATAAAATATACATAAGTCGGAAATGTATATATTCTTCGCCAAATCTATGGTTCTTTTGACAGATGATAATATACATGCAAGAGCAATGATTTAATTTTCCAAGAAATTTAGATAAAGTATTTAGCGTTTTATTTAATTACATTATGCATTTTGTATGTAGATAAAAAGAATTAAAAAAATTAATGGAAAGAATACTTTTTTCTTATAAAACTCTCATCCAGGTAAAGAGTTGTTTTCAAAGAATTCATCATTTTTTTTTTCATTTGTCGCTTGAAAAAATCCGTTATTAAAGCAAAGAGGATATTACATCGCAATGCGTGTTATTTTTGTTCGTTTTCGGTGCGAAGCACGCTTGTTACACGGACTCACAGCTGCAAAATTCACGTATGACTTTCTCCAAATAGCAGCTCACCGCTCGGTGACGCTGTAGAAATAGAACGCGCAATGTCGAAAAAGCGGCAGACAACGTGTAATTATTTTATCCTTTCTGGCGTGTAATTTGGGGCGTGCACCACGCTCGTGAACTCGCTGACTCGATGCAGGGGGGCGACGTGGAAATGGTGTGGTCGGAGTCCACGGCAATGCCGTAGCCTGGAGGGGCGTGTGCCCCGGACAGGACCAAGTGGGGTGCAACTGACAGCGGAAGACAATTAGCCTTCTGATACATCCAATGTCGCGTGTGATACGTTCCGTGGTACGTAGGAACTTTACAAAGATTCGTTTCACGCATCGCAACGCGCGGAGCAAAATATGGGGCACAACCGTTCCGATTCTATTGTTGTATAACACTATTATCCGTTGAGATATATATATATTAATATATATATATATATATATATATATATATATATATAGTCGGTTTAGAGAAGAAGTATGATTAACTAATTCAGTAATGTTTAAGAAAAAAAACAAAATGTTCCCATTCTGCAAATATCGCAATTCAATTCTGAAGTGGGAAATCGAGGAAATCATTGAGTGATATCATTAGACGAACATCGCGTGGTAGCGAGTCGTAACAGGTTTAGCGTCGATGCGAGGATGCGATCCGTGATGATGCCGTCGTCTATGCCATAATCTTGCGCCTATTAGTGCGGCATTATTTTCCGTGGTAGACATCAAAGAGGATTTCCCGCGGGCCCATTGTACGCGACGATAATTCCTCGTTATTAGCTGCGCCGCCGTCGTCAGGGCGTTGGTCTCATGTCGGCTTACCACACCCCAAGTGCCGAAACAAATCCTGCCGGATTGCTAGTGCCGATGCAAAGGCGCTTCTACGACGCATAACGTAGCCCGGACAAAGGATCGACCGAGGAGACAATTGTGGCGGCTAATCCCCGTGAAAAATGTGTTGCAGGTGCACGAATCCACGGTCATTGTCGATGCTCAGGTAAGACAGGAAAATATCGGCTCGACCGGCATTGGTTCACAAGATGATCCTCGCTGATTTCTACCTATAGACATTCTGAGAAGTAAAATTTGCAAAAATTCTCTAAATTTATGGTGAACTTAAATCCACCATTTTGTAATACCCACATAACAAGGTAAGAAAAAAGGAGGAGAGGAAGAATGCAGAAAATAACGTAAAGCGTAATATTTATATTACACCGAAAAAAGTCCTGCATTTATTAATACAAATCTAAAAGAAGCGAAAATAAAATATATTTAAAAAGTTTTTTTTTTTTTGAAATTGTTCGAATTTCTTAGAATACATATTAATCGTTTTGGCAAATAATATAGTTTACGTTTTCTATTAATGTAAAAAAAGTTTGTGCAATTTAAACGTGATGTCTGTGTGTGTGTGTGTGTGTGTGTGTGTGTGTGTGTGTGTGTGTGTGTGTGTGTGTGTGTGTGTGTGTGTGTGTGTGTGTGTGTGTACGTACGACG